TTTTTTTTTTTTTTTTGGGGGGGGGGTACTACTTCAAATGAGGATGGGATCTCAATAAGCTGAAGTATTTAGAACAAATTCAGAGTTGATATTTTGGACTTCTTTAAGCTTGTTCTCCAGATGAGATGTGAAAAGTATCTGCAGATCTCTTTACTCTCCTGTCATTGCAAGTAAAAGAGATTCATCTGTTGAGATGATTACATAGTAAGATACAACATGTTCAGAAAACGTTCCCTATAATTTTCACAGATTTTTTTTTTTTTTTTGCCATTCTTGCCCAAAATGCTGCTTCTATTTGCAGGCATTTGGACTGTTCTGTAAAAGCTTCATGTCAAGCTCAGCAAGTCCTTTACTGCCTTGGTGGGTAAGAGCAGAGCCATCTCAGCTGGGCAGGATTCCCAGCACTCGGCTGCTTGAGTACCTGTTGTCTGCAGAGACTCAGGGACTTCTGGTCACTTACAGACTTAATTTGACTTTTGAGTTCTTCCTAGGTGAGAATGGGGAATGTACTGACCTCCCAACTCTACCATATTGCCCTGAACAGGGAGCGATAGGCATTGAATTCTGGTTGACTCCTTATGGTGGATCTGAGTTGCTGAGGATTTTTATTTTTAGATGAAGGGACACTCTGTAACATTTCAACACAAGGGAAAATTTACTTGTTTTCTTCCCCTTCTTGTCCTTAAGTAATTGTTCTTAGTTCTGACTATATACTTGAATTTGATGCTTTAAGTAATATATTCTTTTATAAAAGAAGTGGCTGCCTAGGTTCTTGAGGGTAATAAAATGGACGACAATGTCAAGTGCCCTGCTTTCATGTTGACTACTAGATGTAGGGTAGGAACCATGAAAAAAAGGCCAAGGAGCTAGTTCAGAAAAGTGAAATATTTTAAAACAAAAAGTCACTTTGCTGAAAACATTAATCATGGAATAGTACAAGTTGATTTAAAATTAGATAGGACAAATATTGCATGAGAGAAATAACACAAGTAGCATAACTTAAATGACAGAAAATGAATCTTTTTATCTTAAAACTCAGAAGGAACCTTTAATATAAATGTGGCTTGTTAGCCAGCCTGCTGGGGATTGCTTAATTTGCTTCCCAGTCCCTGGAGTGGTGAGATAGAACTGTTAAGTAACCACAGAGTAATAATACATTAAGTGAACCTGATCTTTATCTATCATCAATTTTAGCTGCAGAGGTGAAAAGTTTATGCTTTTTTGTATCTCTCTGCCTGTAACCACTTATTCTAGGGGTTTTTTTCTTTTCAGCCCCACTCAATTTACTACTCTGGCACTCGTGACAGCCTGAGGCTCACAAGGAGCTTTACAAAAGCTATTAGCGTTACTGCTTCTCCTGCAGCTTTGTATCCCGATACTTCCTCCTCTCCGTCCTTAGAGTCAGGCACAGGTTTGCCACCCTGTATGATATCTAATGCGATTAGGATCTTGTGCCATGGTTGGGTTCCTGGGTTTTGCTGAAACTATACAATATCTATTAATGAAGTCATTGTTAAAACCCTTATTCAGATACTGACAGCGAACGTGAGGGCTAGCGATGATCAGACACAAGCTCTCCCTACTAGGCTGTGAGACCCTGCATGGAGTCTGGTCACCACGAGTAATTGCTGTCGGACCTGCCTGTGTAAATTAGTTCGAGTTCAGTTTGGTTCATAATAAGGGCAGTAAAATTGCCAAGGCAGCTGACATTGACCTCACCGGAGTAGCTGAAGTGTGATGTAATCTGGAACACAGACTGCTTCTTCCATCATGTTTAATAGCCCTGTGTCCAAAATAGTGCTGAGTGGGTATAAGAAAAAAAAAACCCAGCACTACTGCTGTTCCTGGGGCTTGCTTTATCCTGTGGTTGGGTAGGGAACTGTGTTTTGGTTTTGAAGATAATTGGGCTGTGTGGTGCTCGCAGGGCTCTGGGTTGACAGCCCAATAAAATAATCCCTGGCTTTAGAGTAGTCAAATATGTAGAATATACTTCTCCCTTTTCAGCACATTTACTTAAATCCTGTAGCATTAAATAACAGGCATGTGCTCGGAATATATATGCCTGTAGCATCTTATATACATACTTTTTTTACATTTATTAATATATAATTGAAAAACCAAAAAATATTTTTCCAGTAATAGACCTTTTATTGCTTAGTCAGTAAAATTGAAGAGTTGTGCTTTATGCTTCTCTGTCCTGACTGGATACGTTGAGAAATGGAAATAATGATGGGGCTGTGGCTTAAACATGGGATTTCACAGCAAGAATGGCTTGGCTGTTGCTCAGATTTTCTTTGTGACCTCCAGAAAGTCACTTTTAACTTCTTAAATTCCACTTTGTTGCCTGTACAATATGACTGCTAGTGCAAAGGGATTGTGCTGGGGTTTTGTAAGCAGGTAAGTCTTTTAAAAATTCCCGATTCATCCAAGCATCATGCACTGCAGTCCTCCAGTGGACAGAATATCTTCTTCTGCATTTACTCTGTACAATATGAATTTTTACTTAAGGCCTCCAAGTATATACCCTCTCATGTCCCTGTTCCATCCCCTTTCCCCCCAAAAAAAAAGCTGTTAGGTATGGTGATTGAAGCAAGGACCAATAGTTGATTTTTTTTTTTTAACCCTCCTTTCTTTTTTCCCTTCCTAGGATGCAGGGGCTTTAATCCAGGATGAACGAATGCTACTATGATAAGCGCATGGACTTTTTCTATAACAAGACAAACACTGACACAGTAGATGAGTGGACAGGGCCTAAGCTTATTGTTGTTCTGTGTTTTGGGACATTTTTCTGCCTCTTCATTTTCATTTCAAATTCATTGGTCATAGCAGCTGTGGTCAAGAACAAGAGGTTTCATTTTCCCTTTTACTATCTCCTGGCCAACTTAGCTGCTGCAGACTTTTTTGCTGGAATTGCTTATGTCTTCTTGATGTTCAACACTGGCCCAGTGTCTAAGACATTAACTGTTAACCGCTGGTTTTTGCGTCAGGGTCTTCTGGACACCAGCCTGACAGCTTCTCTGGTGAATCTCCTCGTCATAGCTGTTGAGAGGCATATGTCGATAATGCGGATGAAGATCCACAGTAATCTCACAAAGAAGAGAGTCACCTTTTTAATTATATCAATTTGGGCCATTGCTATTTTCATGGGTGCTGTTCCTACTCTGGGTTGGAACTGCCTCTGTGACATTACCGCCTGCTCATCCTTGGCACCTATTTACAGCAGAAGTTACCTGGTGTTCTGGAGTGTCTTGAACTTAGTCGTCTTCTTCATTATGGTGGTGGTTTACATAAGAATCTACATGTACGTCCAGAGGAAAACTAATGTCTTGTCGTCGCACACTAGTGGATCCATTAGCCGTAGGAGAACCCCTGTGAAGCTTATGAAGACTGTCATGACTCTCTTAGGTAAGTGACTACAAACCACGGCGTGCAAGGCTGGCAGTGCCAATGAATTGGTTTTTGTGTTGGATTGGTTTTGCTTGTTTGGTTGTTTGGTTTTTGGGTTTTTTTTTTTGGTTGTTTGGTTTTTTTTTTAAACCAAAACAAAAAGCCCCCAACCCCCTAAACCAAACCAAACAAAAAAAAACCCTCACCAGACTTTTAAGTACTGGAGGCATTTAGACTTCTGTCTGCTTTAGATAGTGAAATAAGTGTTGCACCATGCAGAAATGCAAAGTAGAGGACTGGTCAACATGTAGAAGAAAAGTGTCTCTATTTGGTAGGCAGCTTGTTACAAAACACAAATTATCTACAGGGTTTTTTTTGGGGTGAGAATACAAAATCACTTTGGAGGAAGGCTTGTAAAGATTCACAGCTACCTACTAGAACATTTTCAAAATAAGATTCTTTAATATCCGCACAAGGCCATGAATCCTGTGGCTGGATGTGGATAGTTTTCTTTGCACTTCTTCCTCTTGGCTGTTTCCTAAACATACTAACTTCTTCTCCCTGGACATGCACCTTCCCTGGGGAAAGGAGAGGATGTCTGGCGGGTCTGTGACTTTGACAGAGATTTGCTTTGCAAGGGGAGAATCCACCTTAATTCTGTGAAGATTGCATAGTGCAAAATATTTTCAGATGATGATACAGTATGGCCTTGGATCTCTAGATCATAACATGAGATTTGACCTGGATTCTGTCCTAGAGACACTGTTGATATTTGGGCAGCTCGGATCACTTCATCAGCTAGTTGCGATGTAGCTGCTTATTGAATTAGAGATGCACAGAGTAGATGATTGATTGTTGGAACAAAATACTAGCTGTAGCAGTCAATTTTCCCCAGGAGGACCTGAATCTGAGCGAGATGTTTTCTGGAAGGCAGGCATCATGCGAGCATGGCTCATGCAGCTTGTTGTGGGTGGAAATGGGGGTGACACCGGGACACTTGTGAAGCTGGGCTCAGGTGGTGGGGGACTTTAAAACCACAAATCTGGCTTTAGCGCTCTGACAACTGTTCTGATGTTGCAAGAGCCAGCACAAGAAAGCTGGAGCTTTTGCAAAAGCTGGTGTCCATGTATACCTGGGGGACAGTTGTGTTGTACTGCAGCATGGTAGTACTAGAGAGTTCTGGGAGAAAAGTGTCACTTTTCATGGAGGTAGGAGTTGCCAGGGTAGGAAGTTCAGGCTGAGGACACTTTCTTCCTCTTGCAGTCTATGGATGCTGTTTGCATAGTCTGGTGTCTGGTTCTCTTTCTTTTTTCTGAAATAATAGTGCTGTAGTACACAACACCTTTGTCTACCAAATGATTTAAAATGCTTTAGAAGCTGAGTTCAGTTAAACTGTACAGTGCCTGACCTTGGAAAAGAAAGTGGACTGATGGTTCAAGCAAGTACAAGGTTCTCACTTACACTCCTGTGTCTTCTGGAGCTGGCTTGTCCACTGCCAGAGCCTTTCCCTTCTAAATCCCTCCCCAGTCGTCCTTCCTTTTTTTCCCTTTGATTTTGTGACACCTATAGAGAGACAATGTGGTGGTTGTTCATGTCTCCCCCTTGACTTGCAAGGGTAAGATTCGATCTTTTGCCCTGCCTGAAGCTCTCGTGCAGTGAAACTTAAACCATACACCTGGAAGGAGAAAATCGCTGCAGAAAAACCTCTGAATTGCTCCGAATCTGATCCTGCCCTAACGCATAAGCATTGGGTAGACTGTAGTTAACTGCTGCATTGGAAAGAGACAAAAAGAAACCGCTTTTAAAAAGCAGCTCTCTGAGCATTTCTATTGAAAGCAGAACTGCAGGTTGCTTTCTGGGAAATCACATTGAAATATATCATCATGCGTAGCCTTGTCTAATTTAGGTGTATATTTATATAGTTAATATTGCTTTGGTTTTGTATAAGCCAAAGTTGGAGGATGCTGAGCGAGTGCTGGAATAACACCGTTAGCTCTCGGTGCTGCCCATGCGTGTTTGCAGGGCAGAGCAGAGAGGTGGTCTGCGCACTGGGGAGGACACCCGGCCATTTGATGGGGGACATGGAAGGACAGTGATGGTGGCTGCTGTTTGCTAATCCCTCGTGGTCCTTTAGCCTGTGGCAGGTCTTCAGTGCTCACCATGGCCATGCTGCTGTGTGGAAGTAAAGCCTGCTTTAAACTTCATTTTCAACTTATTCTTTCTTTTACTAGGGAGAGGGGCCTTAGGACTATGGGTTGATTTAAAGATTAGCATTAGCTTTCTCTTACTTGCAGAATATGGCACCAGATTAAACTATAATTCGGGCAAAGCATTTAATTATATCGTATGCCGGGCCAGGCAAATTTAACTTAGAAAGCTTGAGTGCTACTTTAGAGATCATAATTTTGTGTATTTACTTTGTCAGTCAGAAACAAAACCAAAACAGAGCCTGCTTCCAAAGAAGTGGAATTAGTGCATGTGTTGCTGAGTACAAGATCTACCCCAAACTCCTGTGTCAGAGGAAGTGTATCTTGGCATGTTCCTTCATATCAGTTCTCCAAATTTTGACTCTGAGAGGCTTTTTATAAACATTTATTTCTAGGAATGAGAATTTATTTTTTACAACAGTTTGAAATGTGCATTCCTGGCCAAGTGATTCAAGCACACTGTGCAAAATGTATTAGAAACGGAATAACGTGTTTTCTGGGCTTTCCAATTACCAGAGGAGTCACCAAGTGACCAAAGTGATTCTTCCAAAATTCTGCTTACATCCACTGATGCAACAACCTACAGCTATACGCAGCACACGGATTTTGCCCAAGGCAGTTATTTTTAATGGCTTATTCCAAAACATCTGAAAATGCTTTGGAGTACACACCTGATACAGTCTTAACTAGAAGTGATCCCAAGATGCTCTGTTGCTGGATGAAGTATGATGAGAAGCAGAGTTCTTGTTAATGTGCTCTGTTGGTTTCATGGGAGGTTCAAGACAAAATCCTGCTGCCCCACTGCTGTGTGGGAGGAGGCTGCATGTAGCTGGGTGCTGCTGGCATGCTGCTCCTCCCGCCCACCTCCACCTGCCTTCTTGGGGAGGCTGGGCCTGTGGCTGGCTGCCCCTCCAGCAAAACATCGCTGTCCTCTCTGTGTGTTCTTCTCCTGTGGTCCTACAGTTAAGAGTTGGGGGAATCCGGGTTTCAGTGTGACTTCATGGATTCATGGTGATTGCAGCTGCAGGTGGCTTTTTGCACTACCCGTTGGGCTTGGATGGTGCCTTCCAGGGGCTGGGACTCAGGTCCTTGCCATCTAACTTTTTCTACCATAACCCCTAAAATGGTCCATCACAGGACAGGAGCAAGGCTTTGCCTTTGGCATGCTAAATCATAGGAAGTTATCTGGTTGAAACTGGAAGATGTGAAACCTAGCAAAAGGGGCTAAAATCCTCTTAGGCTGACCTTGTGGCATAGTCCTAGCTAAGCCTGTGACTGTAGCTTTGAAGAAGGGTGGCTGCAGGTGTGTGGGTACGTGATTTTTCAGGTGGTGTGTATGTGGTAGCTCATCTGAACTTGGCAGTGAGATTCCAGCTGAAATAGCAGCTTTGGGGTGGATGATTTTCAGTTTCAGTGAATTTATAGTTTAATTGGTAACTTGCTGTTTTAACTCGGGCGCACATGTGGCAAAGGCAACTGGAAGCTACTGCACTCTTTTTTTTTCTCAGCGTTGGCATGTCCAGGGAGAGCTTTCATGCGCTGAGTTTTATGACATGATGCTGCCGAAGCATCAGTAGTGCTTCCAGGTACACAGGAATTCATTTTCAAGCAGAAATGAGGTAATCTATGAGAAAATCCGTGTTTAAATGGAATGGAAAATGCTCAAACTAAGCTTGAGGCGTCGTAACGCCTGATCTCCCATAATCCGGTGGGAAGACTCAGAGCTGTTTTTCTGATCCATGTTGCAGCTAGGCTATATTTCATGTCACTTCTGTGAATTTTAGAGAGTCCCAGAAATTAAATTCTTTTTGGAGTGTGGCACTTTGTCAGGGAGAGGAGCTCCTACGGGATAAAAAGTCTGCAAACAAGAAAATTGCCAAAGGGCCAAGACAAAGGTATATATTTATGCTTAACCATGGTTCCCTCTGAAAGCTCTGTGGTAAAAATAGCAAAATGCGAGCAAGGCTGTGAGTCTGAGCCATGCCTCGCTTTCATCTCTGCGGTGCTAAGAGCAGGGTGTGAATCGCTTGTGTTGTCTCCATACACAGCAAAATGTATTTTTGATGGAGTCAAAGCAGCGGCCCCATGAAAGCATTAGCCAGTAACTCTGATGCTGTCACTGCATTGCCCCTGTCCTTGTCATCAGTTGTGGGGTGGGGGAAACATGCAGAGAGATGTCTGCAGATGCCTTTTATCTTCCCTTATTTTTGCCACTGAAACCTTTTAGGGTTTTGCCTGTATAGGTAGACGCGGATATATCCTAGGAGTTCATGGACTAATCCTGCCTGCAGTCTTGGGGTTTTGTTTGAAGGAGAGATTTCTGTGTCCTTCGTTAAATGCAGCTTTGGGGTCTGTTTCCTCTCCTGCTGACTTCCATGAAAGCAGGGTTGGACCTTGCATGATTTGTGGTACAAGTGGCCAAAATGCTTTCAGTGCTTGTTCTAAGGAGGGTTTGCTACCATCTTAATTTCTGCATGGAGCTGGTGTGTTGGCGACTTTGCCAGTGACCCTTGGTGGCTAGCAAAAGCTCTCTATCCAAATACTTACCGAGACACTCAACTAGACACCGTATTGTTTGCTGGGTGGTCTCGTTCCAGTGCTTGTTAAAATGGATGGGATTTGCTGGTGAACCCCAGGGGAATAAATCAGCACAGTGTTTTCTCCATTGTAGACTGTAAGAGAGAGTTGGTATCACAATTGCTTACTCAGCACGCTGGAGCCAAACCAGTGTGTAGTATAGAGACTGAACAGAGAAAACAAGTGTTGTGGTAGCAGCTTGCAGCTCCTGATGCCAGTGGGCAATGGAGGAATGTTACTGATGTTAACCAGTATCTCAAAACTAACACCATGAAATTAGTACTCAGCATCACAAAAATCTTGGTACAGCAGAGTAGAAAATGCAGTTTCTGAAGGAGGTGGTCTCTTGCCTTTCTGTTCTGTACAATATTGCCTGGAACATAGTAAATCAGTCGGTTGAATTTTGTCTGGACTCAAGGAGCATAGATTTGCAGCAAGATCTATGGTACCTTGTCCTGGATACATTTTTCAGCAATCCTAATGCTTACTCAATCACATGAATTCACTTTATATACCATTATGGCCTGGCCATCAGATGGGCGCAGTGTCCATTAAAATCCTCGATGGGGAGCAGTGTCCAGTGCTGCGGACACCAGCCTGTGTGCACAGCGCAGCCGATGGGATGCCCAAGGTGCCAAGCCCTGGCTCCGGCACTGCCTGGGTCCTGCCGTGAGCCATGCTGCCCTCTCACTGCTTGCTTGCACAGCTCAGATACGAGAAAATCAGCAGCTTTAAAAAAGTGAGCTGGACTTGCTTTTCCCTACCAAAATTGTTGAACAGATACCAATGCCCCCAGGAGAGCTTTTTAGCATGTAACTGCTATCATACTGATTTGTTTGATTATTTTTTCTAAGCCCAAAAAAGGGGAAACTCTGCTGTTATAAATGATTGGAATTTCCTCAGTACGTTGTTCAAACTATGACAGTTGTGCAGAGTTGTAATTTTCTATTTCTGTATGTCAGACGGCAATTGTGGCTTGTGCTAAGTTAGTATTATCATGGCTACGGCTACTCCTTCCTTGGGCTCAAGGCGAGGGATGACAGGCCGCAGTGCCGGGGGGAGGCAGGAGGGCAGATGGGGCAGTTCAGGACCCCTCCCAAGCTCGTGGCCGAGGGCTGCGTTTGGTCGCGATGTTCCCCCTCCCCCCCAGTCCTGCCCATACCCCTGCCTTTCTGGCGGGGGTGCGCAGTAACATGGAAAGACGCAAATGCAATATTGAACTTCCTTCTAAGCTGTGGTTTTTGTGCTTTCTTCATGTTATCTTCATCCTGTCTAACATCTCTTCTCCCTTATTCCCCCTTTCTTTATTTTTTTTTCCCTTTTTTTGAGGGGCTGGTGGGAGAGGAGTGTGTTGTCCTACTTTGTCTCTTTCACCTTTTATTGTCACCTTGTGTCTCGCTTCTTCCTCCCAAGGGGCTGTTGTCATTCCTGCCTCGCAGCTGAAACACAAGGAGAACTCTGCTGCTCCTGGGCTTCTCCTGGGGTTTCTTGCTATGTTTTGGGGAAATGACTCTCTTGCAGAGTTTTCTTGTTCCCCCATCGCTACGCTCTTACTTCCTCATCCTTTTTGTCTTTTTTTTGCTTTTTATTCTGTTCTTTGCTTCGTTTCTTTGCCCTGACTGCTACATCCTTCCGTTCATCTTCGCTAACTCATCTATTTGGTTCTTTTTCTCTTTTCATTTACAATGGAATTTGTTTCCTGGATCCGAGTTGTTGGGTCTCAAGTACGCGGCATGCACAGCCTGGGAGGGAGCGGTGAAGAGAGGTGGGCTGCTGCTCCGGCCGGGGAGCCGGCAGTGCTTGTGTGTCGCAGACAACGGCATGCATCCTACGCTAGCTGTGGGGTTTCCAGCCAGGACATGTTTAAATGATGTGACTCTTGTTCTATGAATTGGGCAGCGTGCCCATAGCTCTGCAGAGTCAGCTGTAGTGTGACAGCAGACATAGCTCTTCTTTGGATTGTGTTGCGGCAGTGGAAGTGGGCCACCTGGTATCTTCTCCTCCAGCATAGCAGAGAGAGATGAAGAGAGGAAGTCTGCATTCAGAGCGCCAGTTCTCTGCTTGTTAGTGCTCCAGAGCCCTTGTTTATTTACCAGCATAGACAAATCACTGTTGTGATGACCTATCCCCACTTCTGTTCAAGCTGATGCTGTCAGCAGCTGGATTCTTGCTCCCTGCAGCCTTCTGAAAGCTGCCCTGCCTCCTGCTCAGGGCTTGGCAGAGAAGCTGTAGTAGATACAATTTTGCTACTGTCATTAGAATTTTGTCCTCTCCTGCTTTTATCAATTTTGTGTAGAATTTTGATAACCCAATAATCTTGTAAGATGCAAAAAACCCCCTAACCCCTAGCAGTTCGAAGTCTTTCTTTTTTGTCTCCCTTATTTCTAGGTGCCTTTGTTGTCTGCTGGACCCCTGGCCTGGTTGTCTTACTGCTTGATGGTCTGAACTGCACCTACTGTGGGATTCAGAATGTTAAAAGGTGGTTTCTTCTCCTGGCCCTATTAAACTCTGTCATGAATCCAATAATTTATTCATACAAAGATGATGAGATGTGGGGTACCATGAAAAAGATGATTTGCTGCTCCGCTGAGGATAAGAGCCAGGAGAGACGCTCGTCGCGGATCCCCTCGACAGTTCTCTGCAGGAGCACGGATACCTCCGGGCACTACATTGAAGATGGCATTATTCAAGGGACAATTTGTGGAAAAGGAGATCTTGGTGACAAAGGAAACTCCTGAGCTATTCAAGGGACTGACTTGGCTGGAAAAGGAGAGGGGGAAGGGAGCGGAGCGGTTTTGTAAGAGAAGATTGACTGGCAAAGCTAGTAAACAATATATCCACTTCGTTCCAGAGCCTAAACTCCAGTGTTAACAAAAGTTCTTATAAATAATTGCCTGATGGAAAAACACTTTGTAATGAAGAAAACTTTCTGTGCTGCCGTCTTTCTCCTTTTTTTTTCTTTTAAGTACATGAAATTGTTTTTTCGTATGAATGGAATAAATACATCTCAGAGACTTCTTGTGCATGGAAACAAAATGTAAGCAACGTAGTGAGACCCTCCTTAAGCTCCTACAGAGAAAATAAACCTCCCTCACTGTGCAGGCTTGGTATTCACTGAGTATTTACGCTTTGAACAGTTTCTGTGCATCTTGAGGAGGATCGTAGGCATGGTTGGACAGAATTGTGACCTGTTTTCTTGGTTTACGAAGTTCATGAAATAGTTCATACTTACCTTCTTTCTTCCTCCTTACCTTGCTTTCAAAATAGGTAGTTTGATGGTTTATTAAAGCTATGCCAGAAACCTGGCTGTGATGGGAAGCCCAGACCAGACACCAGTGTGCGTGAGGATGTCTGACCATGGATTGTCAGGATCCGAGAGTACAAAAAGCACAAAAGCCATTATTACTTCCATAGTGGGGTGAATGCTGCAAGGAGATACATTGCACTTTCTGCTGCTGTTGTGTAGGCAGACATTGAGGGCGGATTAACAGAAGAGTAGTGTGGCTGTGTTCATTATGCTCATTTCTTACTTCCCCAGGTAACGTCAAATGGGTGTGCTCATCCCTCTTTAACTGCTATGCCACTGAGAGAAATGAAATCCAAAACTCTGTTTTAAGAGGGCTAACTTTTAAGAGAGATTTAAATACACATATATACAGGTTCGATCAAGCAATTTAAAATAGAAATTAATTTACAGGAAAAAAGCCTGAAACCAACCTAAACCCCTACAAGAGTACAGTATGCATTGATTGTCTGACCTTGTCTGGACCACATTTAACCTCTGATTTCTAAGCAGATCTTACTAGAAGGTACTTGAGGAAGAGGCCATGAAACAGCAAGCAATGAAGGGCTTTCAGCATTGTGACTCATCAAGCCTAGTGTCGATGCAGCCACAGCCCAAAAAGCTGAAATTTTGACTTCTGGAGTACGCTCTAATGGAGGATCCAGCAATTCAAAGCTCTAGGGTAAAGTTTTTAAATTTAAACTTTTAAATTAAAAATTGGAATGTACATTTCTCAGTACTCTCAAAACCTGGCTCCTGCTGTCTGGTTTCAACAGCAGTGAGCTCCCTGCTGCCCATCTTAATTTCAAGGGGAGTTACGTGTGTTGTGTCCTAGAGAAAATCTGATTCCTGGTATTAAAACAAGTGACCACGACCAGAGGTCACTTTGAAAAGTTTTGGAAGTCTTGACCACTTGGAATTGTCGGAGGGCAACACCAAGAGCATAGCGTATGAGGCTGAAAGATAAAAATCAGCTGTGCTTTGGGCAAATTCTTCCTTTGGTGCAACATGCATGTGGATATCTGGACTGTGTTGGTCAAAGCAGAACCAGCACTTGGCTCAAAGGCCAAGTTGCAGTTTTGTAGAAGGCACTGGGAGATTTCATAGCAGGCCTTAGCTTACTAACACAGCAAGCCCCTGTTCAGAGAGCTCTCCCATAACACAAGTTACCTTGTAGGGGTATGGCCTAACATTTCAAGGTAGATGCTGTATTTGAGTAATGCTGAAAAGGTTTACATGTGTTTTTTGCCATTATAATGCAATGTTCTTGTGCAAATACTACTTCATTAGTTTGGTGTTTTGAAAAGTATGTAAAGTGGTGCTGTCTAGAGCCGGTGGCATTGCAAAGGCATAGCATGCAAGCATTCCTGTCCCTACAGCTACCTGCAGTGCACGGTTTGTGTTAACTAGGCTGAAACTCCGTATACAAAGCTAACGGAAAATAAAATGCTACTTCAAAATAAAATACTTGTTTTGTTTCCTGTTTGCGTGGTGATTGAACATTACCTGGCACTACAGCCAGCAGTAAATGGCTGCTGTTACTCTTACTTGTTTCCACAGATCCATCCAAGCTAAAACTGATCAAACTGCAGATAAAAACGAAGATGGAGAAACGTTGTTTCATGTTACCCCGGGGCGGTGGGGGGGAGGGATGTTTCAATAAAATTTTCATTTTTATGAGCAATTCTAGGCAGTGTAATACTTGGTTGAATCAGGCCCTGAAGAGAGCTTGGATGGAGATCTGGAACACCTGCAGCAGTGGAGAAAACACTAGGTGTCTTCTGCAGAGCTTGGGATTCGGGTTGCAAAATAACTACCTGTGGATGATTTTTCCAGGTAAGCAGGAAAAGGTGACTCCTGTAAAGGTAAAGGACTGCATTGTTTGTAGAGCGCCTCATACAGTGGACTCCTGGTCTGGATTAAGATCTGAGAGGTATTATCAATCATTCTGCTACAAGTAAGTGGGAGGATTTGAGGTCTGCACTCTTATTCTTTCTGTTGTCTCATTAAAAAAAAAGAAAGCCAACAAAACAAACCCCAAAACAAACAAACCAACACCCAAAAGCTGGTAAACTGGTACTCTGTGAATGGTATTACTTGCAGTGACATGCCCTGTATTTCGGCATGATGCGTCCCTCAGAGCTGCTACCTCCTTGCCTACTCCTACAAATTACAATGTGACATGAGTGGAACAGGAAACTGATCTTGCATCAAACTTTCCTACAAACCACTACAGCAGAGACTCTATAACGTTTCCTATATCTAACTGTCTAAACATCCAGCTACTCATGTAGTGGGGAATTTCTTCTTAACTTCATAAACATTTATCCGAATAGTTTGTCTCAAGGAAAATGCTAAAGCACTATTTGTACTAGAGTAAAAAAAAAAAAAAAAAAAAAAAAAAAAAAAAAGGGGTGGGGGGAAAAAATTTTTGGGGGGGTCCCCCTTTGGTGACTTTTGTCAGATTAACATCTTTTGATACAGAAACCACACAAAAATTGTACTGAATCATATATTAACCTGGACTGTATTTTTCTGTATTCTACCTTTTTTTACTAAAGAAAAAAAAAAAAAAAAAAAAAAAAAAAGCAAAGGGCAGTTGGTGAAGCAAGTTCTATGGGGTTCCCCTGTTGCCTTTTTCACTAATATCTCAGAATAATAATATCAGTATCTGTTGACTTTGCATGTGCCTGCTCCTATTTATGTATGCCACCGTACTGAGGTGTGAGATGAAATTCATTCTTTTGGGGAAGGCTTTAGGGTGAACACCCACGGTTAATTCTTAGGAGGCAAAGGAAGGCAAGGGTAGAGTTACCATTCAGTTGGATAGTTATAAGGTTTCACATGTTCCTGGTGATGCTGGAGGCCTTTCTGTGCCTGAGAGAGCCTTGAGAGCTGCTGTACTGTAGTAAGTAGCAAGCAGATACTTCTAATACAACATCTTCACAGCAATTATGTTTTGAAAACCTTTGTGATATTCTCCTGCTTTTCTCCTCTCCAGCTGCTTGTCTCCCAAACCAAAGTTGCTCTTCCAGTTGATCAGTGGGTCCAGGAAGAAACGCTCCACGGCTTTTCCCAGGGCAAAGACGTATGGTCTGTCCTCCGCGGTTAGCACTCCCAGAAAGCCTGTGTGGTCACGATCATTAGAGATGCTTTTCAGAGAATTATTATTAAAAGCTGGGAACAATGGGGTTTTATTTTACACGATAGATCTTTTGAATCTTTCTGGATAAGCAGCTAGACTGATCATATTGTTTAATCACTGCGTGCGTGGGAGAGAAGTTTCTCTAGTATCTGTGCTGTCAGTTTGACCTAGGTGGTGTGGGTGATGAGTCCCTCTGGGAGAGCAGCTGAATTGCTACAGCTTGCGTGGCTCTGAAGCATGGCTTCTCCGCTGCTTTGGGGCTGCTTTACCATGACTAGTTTTCCCTCACTGTAGGGGTTTTTTTGGCGGTTTTTTTTAGTAATTACTGCAGATTGGTGAAATACATCTGTATTTGTGCATATGACAGCTTGTACACGTATCTGTGAACTGCAATAATTAGTGCAGCTATGTGACATGATGGTGCCTTTCTCTGATCAGATCTATATTTTATATATATTTATACATTTGGGTTTTTTTTTTTAACTTCAAAGTCTCTTCCAAGTAGCAGTTAACTATAGAAGCAATGCTTCTACTCTGATTCTTTCACAGTTGTAGTGAACTCTGCATGAAGATCTCTGAACTAGTGGTGATTGGAAGCTGATGGAGGAACGGTCATTTTAAACTTGTCATATTTCTTATGCACTTTCCCTATAGTTCTGGCTATTGGCCACTATCCTAGGAGATGCAGTGCAGGGTCAGCCTTTAGTCTGGCCCAAAGCAATTGCTGCTTGCAAGATTAGAGCCAAAAAGTGAAAATATATGGAAATGTTGAAAAGAAGAAGGCAGGGAAATTCTGTTATTTATCCTAGCCTATAATTCTAATGAACGTTTTAAATCACTTGAAAGAAGTGATCCCACTTTCCCCCTTGCACCCACTCCCTCCTTATGCTGGTGCAGCCATTTGCGAGACCATGTGGTGAACCGTAGTGGGTCTGAAAAATAACCCTGGTTGATATACGTTGCTAGTAACCAGAGAAGATTTTCCACTTGTCATGAGCTAGCAGCTTCATTATTTCCTCGGTTTGTTATATAGAGTCACACAGATGATTTGTTTTCTAGAACTCTTTGTAAAATACAGTTGTCCTCGAATGCTACACTTTGCAGTGCCTAGGCACGCTTCTATTGGGGGAAAAGGAGAAAATCCATCTGGAAACAAGGAATTAGGTCATGATAGTCCCCCCCGGCCCCCCCCCCCCGCCCCGGTCTTTTAGAAGATAAGGCATTTAGACACTTCTATGCTTTGAGCCATTCTTCAAAACATCCTGCTTATCTTTCAAGTAGTAATTGGTCCCTGGGCTTCTTTTAGACAT